GGAATCGGTTCAAGACGTAGGAAGCTGATATTGAACCAAAAGTATCACAGAAAATTAAAAACTTATTTTAAATTACATTTAAGCAAGAGTTAAAGCATTTTTTTTTTAAAGTTTGTAGTATTATATGCCAATTTATTTAATTTGTAATAAAATATTTCAGAGATTCCTCTGCGTACCACTAGAACTAGCGTGCGTACCACCAGTGGTACACGTACCATAGTTTGACAACAAGTGAGTTAGCTGAAAGGCTAGAGAATCATGAATGTCTGTTGTAGCTGTCGAGATATTTCAGTGTGGACCAAAGTAGTGGACCGCCTGACAGACTGACATTGCCATCCCTAGAGCCTACTGAAAAAAAGAAGCAGATTCAATTTTATGAAGCCACGCTGGCACACAAAAATTCATGAGATTTGTTGAATAAAACACTATTTGTGCTTGCAATACCATGTTTAATTGCCAAAACCAAGAGCAGTTACTTATCCATTTTCATAACAGCAGGGTAAGACTGAGAAATGGATGATGTGTTGATGGTGGATTTTACATGCAAACAGTTTTGTAACAACTGTATTTTCTTGCGCACACACTGAGACGAGAGAGGTTTGCTGTCATACAGGGCAGCAGGAAATATGTTTTAGACATATGTTAGAGGGCGTGTAAGTAAGTGCAAGTATTCACTGTGGAGGAATGTTACAGGTCGAATAGTGAGGTGAAGTTCTGCAGCCAAATTCAATCAGATCCAAAATAAAAGCTACGTGCTCCTGCGCATGAAATACATCATAAAACTATATTCTATGTGATTCCAAATAAGGAGTTAGAGGTTAAAAATATTTTCTGGATAAATTAAGTAACATATACTGTACTGTTGTGTCAGTACACAGCATGTACTCACTTGCCTTACTAATAAGTAGCTAGATTAAGTTCTATCAGCTACAAATAATGACTAAAATAAATTCATGCAAGTGCAATTCAAAGATATTCTGTATATTCTGTAAATATATATTCCACAATTTCCTCAAGACCTTTATACCAAATATCTTTGCTCACAATTGGCATATCTCACTCAAAGAAACCTTTAACAGTCAACATAAACAGCTTTCTCTGAATATGCCCCTGTAACATCAGCGCATCCTTTGAAAATATATATTCTGTACAATATATTGTAAATAAAAGAAAACCGACTAACATACAGACGCATATGTTTTTCTTACTGCGGGTGTTTGCACCACAATATGTCCCCTCCCGAAGGCATCCACCTTAAAAACTCTGCAGGAGCTCCAGCCACAAAACCACGACCTGCCGACCCTTCAGCAGTCAATGTTAATGCTGCAGAGGAGCTCCTCCAGGGCCTCCAGCTTCTGATTGGCCTCCTCGATCGCGCTGTATGTCTGCACATTGCTGGCGATGTGGTAGCGGATTTCGTCCACCAAGGGGACGGAGTCGGTCTCGTGTCGCTCCTCCACCGACTCGGCATCCTCTTTGATCATCTGGGCAAACTCGGGCTGCTCCAACAGCTGTTACAGATTAAACAGGTAACACAGGTGTGATTTTAACCTGAGGGGCAACTGAGCATGGCTGACCACAACATCCACAACACTGACCAACAAAAAATATCATTATATGGCCACAGAGGTCAACCTTTACTGCGACTTTTGATATTATGGTGGTGAACAAGATGTACAAGGGGCAGTCAAATATCACCAAAGCACCAATAATGACGGTAAAACATTCACTAAAATATAACATTTTATGCTATTTAATCTATTACTCCTGGTGTTAAAATATGATTGTTTATTCTTGTGATCTTCACTTCCGTCTTTTATGGATTGTTCTTCATGCTGCTTTTTTGAGAAATCCCTTTGTAATGATCAGCACAGCCTAGTTTAACAGTTTGATGTGGGTTTTGTGCATTGCATTAGATAGACTCACTGAAAGTGACTTGTCAATCACAAGGCCCAAAAGTATACCCTGCTTTATCGTCTATTTTACTCTAAATGGGGCCATAATTTGCTATATAAACATCATGCTGTGCGGAAAAAGACTTAAAGCTGGCAATTCAAACTAGAAACTAATTAGGAAACTGTTTACTGAGATAATAAATCAGGTAGAAGGTCATTTCTCCATAAGAATCAATATGATTCTTGTTTGTTCTTTTGCAGCCATCAGAGCTGCCCCCTGCTGGCCATTACATAGAATACATGTTTAAGACATTTCTGCATTGGCCTCACTTCACAGATCCAGAAGCTCTGTCCTCTATATATACTGTGGTTGAGACAAGAGTTGTTCACAATTTAGAACAAACAGCTCAAATTTCCCTAACTGGGTCACTAGTTGGGAGGATAGTTCACACAGGAACCAAAAAGCACAGTTGGTGTGTTTATTTTAGAAGCTATTGTCTTTATTTTTTAAAGGAACAGTTCCGCATTTCGGGAAATATACTTATTTGCTTTCTTGAGAAAGCGTTAGATGAGAAGATCGATGCCACTCTTTTGTCTCGTTGCTAAATATGAAGCAAGAGCTGGGACATGGTTAGCTTAGCATAAAGACTGAGAACAGGGACATTTAAAAGCTGACCTGGCTCTGTCCAAAAAGTGAAAGAAATCTGCCAACCAGTATGTAGCTCACTAATTTACATACTGAACATTGAATTGTTGAATTGTTTTATGATGAGTTATTTGCTAAAACTATTCCTGGCCAAGTGCACTAACTTTTCCCCTTCTCTCAGTACTTATGCAAAGCTTAGATAAGCTAAGCAAAACACCTGCTGGCTCCAGCTTCGTATTTAACATACAGACATGAGAGTGGTATCAGTCTCGGCAAGAAACTAAATAGGGCGTATTTCCCACAACTATTTTTTAAGGAAAGGCCTCAGATAAGTCCATGCAGTTTACGGACACTACCCAAGGTATAAACATCAGTAATTGTACATATACACACAGACACCCACCCGATCAATGATCTTGGCCATGAACTCTGTGCAGTAATCCTCCAGCCGAGAGAGACGAAAAAGCTTCGCCATCTTCCACATGTACAGAACGTTGTCCTCACATATAGTCTTAGCGAGTGTCTTCCCACAAAGGCGCTTCAGCCCCGGCAGCAGATACATGTCAGCCACGCACAGCACATCAAACACAGTCTCTGTTGTTAGCTGGACATAAAGAAAATCCAGTCAGCTATTATGATTAGCATTCAAGTAACATTACCCTTGTACCTTTGCTCTGTTGCCTCTTTAACCTCAAAATGAAACCAGTGAACCTCCAATTTTACTAGCTTAAGTTTCTCTGTGCTCAGTGATAATCTGATTTTAAGGGGCGTGTATGTCAGTTTATTGTGTTTATGCAACTATGTTAAAATATTCTGTTTTGAAAAGGAAGTATTGTTAAAGCTGGTGGCATATTGTTTTTTATTTTGAAGTTCTGTTTTTACAACGTTGCTGTTTGCACAATAAAAACTGTTTACATTCAGCAACTGTTTCATGCATTTTGATTTCTTCATATACTGTATAATTGTGTGGGCCGAGAAAGCTCTACAGTAATCAAAGCCTTCAGTACATTACACTATGACAATACAATGTGTTATATGTTATATTCTATTTCCTCCTGACATAATAACCCACTATAAACCCATATAAAGGCCCAGTCATGCATAAAACAACAACAAAAACATGATATATTGTGAAACTGCTAGAATCTTAAAAGACACTGTCCACAAAATAATTTCAGACAGAAATTGTGCACTAACCTCTGTGTTGTCCGTGTAGATGAAATACATGACGTGGATAAATATTTCATGGGAAATGTTGTGTAAAGTAATCACTGGGGTGCTGGGCTGGGACTGCAGCTGCTCTCCCTCACTGAAGTGGTCCTCCAGTAAGGCTTTAAAATAATCACTGCGTCCACAGAAAAATGCCTGGAGACACAAACAGACAAACAATTAAACTTTAAATACTGATTTGAGCGTCAGGACCTGGACCTCAGGACATGTTGCTTTGTAGATTTACCTTATGACACAAGAAATCATAACCATTTACTCTGAAGCAGATGTCAGGATACGTAGAGAAGCCGTCAACTCTGTTAAAAGGAAGTTCACCAAATCCAACCTGGGGGTAAAAAAAAAGTCAACATGGGCTCATTAAAACTGTAAAATTAGTTTAATTCTTGATTTGTTGCTCCCATGTCCTTACTTTTAATTCAGTAGGAAGTGCAGAGTCTGCTAACTGGGCAATCTCATCCTGAAGTTGACCGCTGTGAGGCTCCAGGCTGAGAAATTTTACACAGATTCCTGGTTTGTTGGATACTTCAGTAGGAGGAAAGACATTAAAAAAGAGAGACATCAAGACCAAAGACAGACATCATTCAGAAAAATGGGTCAAAAGTTAGCTGACAATTAAAATGTGTTTTGGTATTTTCAGCTGTTTGTACACATACATACATTAGAATGTGAACCCAGAGTACCGTCTTACCATATTCATACAGCTGTTTGCATTTATTCTCCAGTGCCTCTATAAAATCTGCCATTTTGCACTGTTTAGCAAGTCGTCTGGAGTCCTCCACGTGGCTAATATCAATATCCATTCGTCCTGTGACATTAAGAAAATAAATGCATGAAGAGAGTCGGGAGGCTCACACCTACCCGCCAGTTTGTAATCATTCTCCCCATTCATTCAAATACACTTCCAATGTAAGTGATTTGTGACTAAATCTACAATTTAGTTAATATGAGGCTCCCGCAGTCCAGTCTGAGTTAATGAAATTAAGGGGATGTTATTTTTTAATGCTAAATTGCCTCTTTGTATTTCTTGGACAGTTGTTTCCTTGCTGGGCTGCAGTGGAGGGACAGTAACAAATAGCAGGAATTTGTTGCTAAAAATACTGTATCTTTGGATGGTTATCTTCCAAATATTATTATACCCTCATTTTAGCTTCAGATAAACTGGAATGCATTTTCGCCCAAAACAAGGAATGTGGAATTTCAGGAAGGGATCTCTTAACGGTCAGTGCGACCAGGAGGACTAATTACAGCAAGGAAAACTTGTTTCTATGTTCACATGGGCAGCAGACTACTGTTTTACATCAGATGTGGAAAACTGTAAACTTATCCTTTAAAAAGTACCTTAAATAAAAATGACACTAAATAGGAATGAAAAGTTTTCGTAATATCATGATATTCAAAGAAAAATATTTGGTAAAATGCCATTTATTTGGCAAATCCAATCAGGAAACCAGAAAATACAGTGGGGAGAACAAGTATTTGATATACTGCCGATTTTGCAGGTTTTCCCACTTACAAAGCATGTAGAGGTCTGTAAT